TTCTTCTGAAAAATGAGAAGAAGTGAATAAAGACATGATCATTTTGGCAGTGATATGGTTTTTATATGAGTTTTAAGTGTAATGCCCTATGGGCATATAGACGATAATAGGAAACTTCCCTCCCCTAATAATAAGTCAAATAATTTTATGAATCTATTGTGTGTTATTCCACGTGATTAATTAACCGAAATTTTCGAAACTATTGGTGAGTTCTTGTGGGGATCATCTGAATAAACAGGGGACTATCTATGTTTCGATACATTATCATAATATACATTTACCCACCAGGTGGCAGAAAAATAAATGTCTAAATAAAAGGATACATAATGTTGTGGCTTATAGGATAATTCCTTTCCTATAGGAGATATCATGAGGGATGATATAAAACAGGCTGTCGTGAACTGCTAAGCAATAAATAAGCGGAAAAATATGACATAGCGTGCCAGCAGCATATAATGGTTAGGAAATTCCTGATAAGATATAGTGTATATTATAAGGAAAGAAGCAAAGGAGCAAGAGACCCCAAGGAAAACCAAGGAGGGAAAACTGGAAATATGAGATTTCCGCCATAAACAAATAGATGAAGCAGTACGCCTCCCTAAGTAGGAAAAGATAGTGTCAGCCGGGGGAGGAGAAGAGCAAAGGACGCCAAAAAAACCGGAAAAGGAAACGAAGACTCCCCCGAAGGCAAAAGTATAGGAGCAGAAGCAGGTTTAATAAGGGATAGGAGCAAATGAAACGTATAAAGATCAGAATCATGGGAGAATATTCAGCAGAGTCAATATACAGTAAATACTAACCAGGGGACCAGCAAAAGCCAGAAGAACGGAGAAGGAAAGGGAAAGGAAACAGTAGAAGACTAAAGGAAGCGATAAGAGCAAAATTTTACCGAAACTATCCCTCTATAGCAGGCAGCGCAATGACAAATAGACCAAACTATATTATGAAGTACAACAAGAATAGGCAGCAGAGGATAATGCACTGAATAGGGAAAGACAAGGAACCACTGGAAAAGAGGGGGATAATCCAACAGATATAGGACTGGGGCAGAGTGGGAGAAACCTTGAGTCGAAGCATCTGGGAGAAAAAACAGGAGATAAAATAGTTAGGATTATATATTATGGACACATCGCAACCCAAGAACTCCTCCCCAGAGGATAAAGGTAGGGATGCACTAGAAATAATGCATCTCTATCTGAAGGAGTGAATTGAAAAACAGAAACACGGGAACCCAGTGCTATGAGTAAGCATAAGTATATATATGGAGGAGAAATAACGAAAGCCCCCTACGAACTATATGGAATACCTATCGAGTATACAATTACGACAGGGAAATAGCGACAAGGAAGAGGAAGTATATTAGAAGGCGAAGGAAGGAAGCAGGAATAAGTGACCCTTATGGAGTGATATGAAGATATATTTAAATAAAGCACCCGTAGTGAATGAGAGGACTGGGAAAATTCATAATAATAGGAGTAACAGCTCCAGACTTATGGACCCAATTAACTACTTCCAGAAGGCACCAAAAGGGCGCAGGGGATAGAACACGCCCTTGGGAGCCAAATATCCCATAGAAGGAGCTAAATAGAAAACAAGCGACTCAGCCCAGACGCCCAGGTGTAGGGGGCATCCTACCCCGAGCGTTAGGTACAAACAGTATTCCTCAGGCAGACTAAACCGTAGAGCCGTAGGGAAAAGGACGATCAGAAGTCTAGATCACTGTACCCAAGAGGAGGATTTGGACTAGAGGGCTCAAGGAACAAGGAGTTCTGAGAAACAGTCTATAATGGGTTAACACAGGAAAAACAAATGGGACCACTGAGGGAAGAAATAGAATTGAGGAGCAGAACCCAGTCATTTGGGAAGATGGAGTAAGTAAAAAGAATAAGGTCCTCCCAGGGAGGGGATGATGCCACCGTATATGACGAAGAATAGGGGAAGTCAGGGAGGGACAGCCGAAAAATCTTAATAACGAGGGACAGATATGAACAAGGGAATTATAGGGTAAGGAGGGTTAAGAAAATTTTTGCATAAGAGCCAACTCAGAGTCTTGAGCCGCTGTCAGTAGATACCTAATAAAAGACAAGAAGCAGAGAAAACAAGAGTGTGACAAGAAGTGGCCGAGGGAGGGTAAAAAATAGATGGGAGGACAGAGGGGGAGAATTCGTTACGCGAGGCGAGCTTAATAAACCGAGTGTAGGGGAGAAGCATCCAAAGGAGGAGAGGCCACCTCTAAAGGAATATCCGGAAAAATCAGCAGAAGGGGAATCAACCCAGGGGGAACAAGTGGGTAATCTAAGGAACATCTTAGTAGAAGAAGGGAGAAGGAGGGAACAAAAATAAGGTTCGGGGGAGCAGTAGTGAGATAACCGGGGATAAAGCAGGGTAACCCCACGAGGGGCACAACCAAAGGATGGCCGCCTCAATAAACCAAAAAGAGGAGGACCAGAAGTAGGATGAACAATTTCATAAGAAAAAGAATGCAGAACGAGAATCCCATGGAGGTGAGGGCTGGGGCTCAGGTTCAGGAGGCAGTAGTGGAAAGGAGCCCCCTAAAATATGACAAGGAAAAAACAAGACAGCGAAGGAAGGACACCCCAAAACAGAAAAACCAACGTAGAAATGGCGGAAAAATAACCACATGAAGGAAGAGCTTGTGAGAAGACGTTAGACGCAATAGACTTAGTTAAGTTGGAATATATGCAGAAATTTCCCCGTAAAGCAGAGTATATAAATCACGGAGGACATCGTCATAGGTAAGGGGAAACCACGAAGAAGAGGGGAAATGGCTCTAAAATAGTGGAACGGATTAGAATCACGCAGGAGGGACTTTGTTAGATGTAGTATATACAGTCCCACCTGAGAAACATCAGAAGAGACCAAAAGGGACCCCACGCCAATCAAAGAATAAGAAAACCAAAAACTGACCAGAAAAGGGAGAGGCTAAAATCCCCGAAAGAGTCAAGATACCCCAAAAAATTGAGCAGGTGTATCTGGAAATCCGCCTCCCTCTTTGGGGGAAAACAGCTCCAAATTTCCCGACACAGGCAAATCGAGGTATAACACTAAAACAAGAAAATTAGAGCATCACTTTCTTTCCACGGCTCACAGGCAACTAAAAAATATCCCCACCCCTAACAGAGGAGAAACAACAGTGGAGCCAGATACATACAAAATTAAAGCTAAAGGAGTCAAGAACAACTATCTCACTCAAAATTCTCATCACCGAGAATCCCAAGATTATACTGTGAAAAGTAGGACCAGAATAAAAAGAACCGTAAAGCGACTGACCTTAAGTCCCATACGCGGAGATTTTGATGATCACCAGTAGGAAATATCAGTTATAAGAATCGCATGTAATCCAACAGCCACTTTTAATAAGTATGAACTATCTAATTAAATGAAGCGGAGTATGAATCTGAAGGGTACAAAAACTGGATCAGACAACAAATTTAATGAGTTTAACATCCCCAGGCGGCAAACTAAGAACGAGTCCAAGCCCGAGGACACGAAGGGGGAAATAAGATGACGTTATAGGTGACATACAACAGCCTCCCACTGATAAAAGAATAACACGAAAACCCCAAACAAGCGGAGGATTTTTAGTAGACAGAAGTCTTCTAGCATTGAACACTTCTAAAACAATGATAATCTATATGATCTGGAGCAAATACAGAAATACCCTTCAGCGAAGCACGGGGGAATCAGGAAAGAAGAAGCAGCACACCTGATAGCCGAGTCTTAGAAAATCTTTGAAATATGATAACCCAAATCCGAAAGAGGCGGGAGTTTATTTCCGATATTACCCGAAGGGGATAAGGAAACAAGCAGCAGTCTAGGAGAAGATAAGTTCGTAAAGCCACTGTAACCAGAGAGGAAGATATCTCCAGAGTGAAATCACCAGGAGCCAATCTCCCCTAGCAACCTGCGACGCAACTGTCGTCGAAGTATCCAAACCTAAGAGCAGCAAATACGAGTAGATCTAAATGGAAGAAGTTTTATAGAAGCCACAATATTAATATCCCTCGACCGAGTCATCCAGGAGGATAGTCATTAATCCCGAATATGAGCACTAGAGTATCGGAGGAGGATGTTGTTTCGGATCAGGAGGATGATAGACCTGGGATACTGGCCACCTAAACCCCCTAATTAAATAAATCACGGGAATCCTGAGATATTTATGAAAATAATAGGAACTTTCAAGAAATCAAACTCGGAAGTTAAGTGAAGGAGCAGGCGGATCACATACGCGTACAAAAACAGAGTGTGAAACCCTAAAACACTGAACAGATCGAACTTCCTCTCTACAACCAGATTCTCTGAAGGAAGAGAAATAATATATGATAGTCAATTAGAGCAACAGAAAGGGAGTTACAGATTAAAACACCAGACACCTACCTGGAATAACTGTGAACTTCCAAGACCCAACAAGTTAGAGGCTGAAATCTAAGTAGGCTAAAGTGAGATAAGGAGTGGAACAAGTCTAACTAAACCAGAAACTCCCAAAGTCTGAGAGGTAACGTATAAACCCCACAACTAAAGAAAGACCTATCAGCATCAAGTTCGGGGGACCTGATCACTACAATAACGAGCAAGTAACCTCCAGGCGCTACATTAGGCACAAGTTTATAAAGAGAATTTCCGACACCGTTATTAGAGTAAGTATCTCTCGTCTGAGGGAGTAAAACATTAGAGGATCAGTCTTCAAGTCTTTCCCATAGACGTCTAAACGAAATCAAAATAGGAAATCCGAACCCAAAGAAGGGCAGTCTCAACAATCAATCATTACTGGGGAGTCATTGCAGCACCTCTCAACTACACACGCCGTTAAAATCATTAAGCATAACCGCACTCATAACTCGCCTGATGGGTACGGAGCGCGGAGAGTAAAACATGATAGTGCAGCCTATGAGGAAATGACCAACAGTTATATCCCAAGGGAGAAAAAGGGGCCAAGTTACCAATATAGCTCAAAATAGCAGACCAAGAAGAAAGAGGAAAGAAAAAAATGAAACCTAAACACAAGACGAGGAGGAACAGCCGCAAATAAGTCCCTAAATGGCATGAACATGGGTTAAATCTAAAAATAATGAGGAACGCCTGAAGAAATCAAGTTTAGTCCTCCGTAAGAATATAGGGGCAAAGGGAATAAACAAGAAGTAGTTCGGGTCAGGAAAGAGGAGCCAAAGAGGGCACAGCCGTCAATCCATTAAAGAAGGACTCACTATCAAATCTCCTACAACAGAATAGGCAGTTTCTGAAGTGGGAAACGACAGGGGGACGTCAAATCTCAAGTAAATTCTAATAATGAAAGAAAAATAGTCAAGAGTCTCGAAGTCTAGCTCTGCTGAGCGAAGTTTCAGAATCCGACAAGTCTCAGTAGAATAAGAATAAGGATAAAATCATTCCACAAAGACAGATAGAATAAGAAAGTATTACGATTCACTAGAACATTTAGCGATGGAATAGTCGTGACGATCCCCCAGAAGTCAAAAGAAGGAGATAAGCTACCGCACGCATCAAAGCAGGACAAAAATTCAGATTCGAACAATACGAGGAAAAGGATAGATCCGAACCCCAACGGAAAAGACATGAGAATAGGACCAAGCCAAGAGGGCTCACCAAGATTAGGGATCATTAATTTGAGTTAGAAAGTCTATCATGAGTTTCTTGGAGGTTAGCAGAATTCCACTACAGGCAAGATATTACAGTGAAACTAGGGATATAACATCTGACAAATGAGGCCAAAAGATATAACCACACGGAGAAACATAAGGGGGACAAGTTCCGACAAACTCCACCAGTTTCCAGATATGGGAGTTCAGCCTCACCCAAATCGGGAGGAGGGGGTCCAGTCCTCTTGTAGGAGAGAAGGGTATTTAAAACATTAGCCAGAAATCAAGTAATGATCTAAGATAATCAATACTTGAAGCTGAAGGCGGCCACTACCTCTTTCAACAGCAACCAAGACTACTAAATGAAAATTTTCAATTAAGAGATGAGGAGCTAGCGGTCTACTGCATTGGCGTCAGCGTTAACGTTGATGTAGAGCAGGACGAAGTAGCCAAAGTCTAAGGAGGAGGGTCATATCGAAAGGAGATAAGGAGGAATAAAATTCAGAAAATAGAAGGCAGCACACCGGGGAGGTCAGATAGGAAAACTGTAGTGTAATAAAGTTAGATACAGCAACAGTCCAAAGGGGATTCGAAGGGGCTGGACTCATTCAGGACTCCATAAAGAAGTTTCCCAATATGGAGAATCGACCTACTTGTAACCGAACAGAGTGAAGGACTAAACCAGAGGTCTCTGAATTAAAAGAGGTTGAATAAGAAACAGGCGAAACAGAACTGATATAGACCAGACGATGGTTCCTGTCACAGATTTAAAGAGACCAACGGATTAGGACCTAGTACTCACCCTTTTCTCCGCGAAGGGGTCCGTGACTCTCTCCCGATATATATAATGGATAGATGAAAATAGAGGACGCCCCAACCAAGTCAAGAGGAAGATATTTGAATATCCTTAACGACAAGAGAGAGATTTTCCAAAATCCGTAATGATTTAGGTCCTTAAGTATTCTCAGGGAAGAGTAAGGAGTAGAAAAGGAATAGAGAATGTTAATAATCGCCCGCAAGATCGTACCAGCTAAGTGAAGCCTGCTATCCAGCAGAAATAGACAGAACTCAAAGGAACAGGAACAGTCCAGGGAAAAATTCTGTATTGATATCTTCTTGATGGAGATAGAGAACAAGGAAGTGATATATTAAGGGAATTATCCATCTGAAGGAGCTCCTTATGTCTTCATCGTAATGTTTCTCCTGAGGAGGACAATAGACAGTGCCAATCCTCTTAATAATTTCCTTCCGAGGCATAATAATCAAACCTCACAATTCCAAGGCAATGCACAACAGTGGGAGGGAAGTCGTCTTCGTTCCTGGTAGAATAGTGAAGCAGAGCAAGGACCTCTAAGTAAGAGTTTCGATGTTCACCTAAGAGGGGGATGTGTTAATGACCTATTGGTATAAAACAGCATTTGTCCAGGTTTCCAAAGAAGTTCCAGGTAGGGATCCCAGAATACGGCTAAGGTGGCGGGGGTAGCTCAACCATAGGAGGATGAAGTGGACCGTTCATTTTCTGAGGAAGAGAGAAATTAAAGGACGCTGAGACGTAAAATTGAGGAGCGTATCGAAGTGTCAGGGTAGGAAGGATGGGATGTCTGATGATTCCCAGAGGGGACAACTCTCTTAATTACGAGTGAGGAGGGTAGCGACTAGTTTAGGAGAGAGTTTCTATGTGCTATTCTAAAGACGCACAATGACAAACGGAACTTTAGTTTGAAACAAACAGGAAGAAATTACAGTTGAAGCATGGGACGTATAAGTTAAGCGACCTAAGGGGAAAAAACGGGAGCGAAGTAGTAGGGCAAGAAGTTAAAGATGAGATCTCAAGCCCGTGCCAACATCAAGAAGTGAGAGGAGGATTTATTATAAGTGAAACAGCAGAAAGCAGATATAGTAGCCGAAAGTGACGGCAGGAATTAGAAGAGAGGCTTAAGGGAGAAAGTAAGAATCGATTTTAAGAGCCCGGGAGTACAGGTTCTCTTACCAAGAGGGAATACCTCAGTGGAAACA